TAAAATTAATTTTAATGCAAACTAATGATCACATCTATTAGCATACAGTATCAGAGATGCATTTTGTGCCCAGTAGCAGCTGCTACAGTAATTTTGGGGAAGATATCTTGCAGTCTTCATGAATAACAAAGAGAATGAATTCTTAAGAGTGAAATTCTGATCAGACTCGGGTATGAAATGTCTCTGCAGTAGCCACATTATAAATTCATCTTCATATATATTCATGGTATCCAATTTACCTCACCTACCAAATCAGACTACTTCTTACCATTTCAAAATGTGCTGTCCAGTCTACATAGTTTATGATATTCCATAAGAAATGAGCCCCTGGACTTCATTTGGGAAGCTACTTGTATCCTATTCTACTGTTGGGTCTTCTTTCCACTTTCTATACCACACTTTCTGCGTTCTCTTCATAGAACTGTAAAACACCCCTCTCTAGCTGTCTTTTACACCTATAGAATGGGTGTTCTTTCTTGCTGAATTATTACCAGCTGCATTCAAACCCGTTCAGATGTGAGCATCACTTTATTGCTCTCGTAGGTCTTCACCTCGTCCTTTTTAATCACTCTCTATAATCCTCTTGATTTTGTTGCTCTTCTATGAGCTCCATGCGATGTATCCACATTTTCTACTTGATCAGTATGGGTAAGTGACATAGATTTTCTCATAACCAGACCTCAAATCAAGTAAAATTATTCCAGAATTCATCAATAAACAGGATTCTGCTTAACAGTCTCAGAGGAGCACAAGACAGTCAAGCAGACTTTGGAAGTGCTTCAATTTAAAGAATGGAGGAAGCACATAGTTGTAGGTAAAGCATTTAAGAGCCCAAGATTTGCGAACAATTCCTAAATACATCTAAGAATTGAAGAAAATAGGCCCAGCTGCAATTCTCTGTGGATGAGTCTACTCTTCCGTAGTTCTGTTTTTGTATACCCTCTTCCAAGGGTAAAACCGGAAGAAAACTGTACGAATCCCAGAATTTTAGCCCTGAGATTTTCAGTTCCATTTTACAAAAACCCCACACTCTGAAAGTTGTGAAGCTTGAGGACTTATAAGCACTTTGAACCCAAGGATCGCAAAAACAGTACAAAAACATTTACAGTCTCATCACAAAATTGACTCTGTCTATGTCTATCCAGTTCCTTAATTTAAAGTATCCGGGCTGCAGAGTCCTACTCTCGGACACCGCCATCTGCCCATACAACCTGAACGGCAGGATCAGGCTTATTCACAGCCAGATGAGTTACATTATACCTTGATTGGAACTCATCTCTTCAAAGCCATTGCACTTCAAGCTCACAGAATTAATTACTCATAAGGAAAGATGTCGCCTGATAGAATTTAGTTGACTAAAGCTATTTGAGTACAGAATATGTTATACCACACCTTTATACTTGTTATTAAGTATCGCATTATAAACAATGTCTAGTTTGAAAATTAAATAATCTCTAAAAAAGTAAAGACATTCAAAGTGCATTAAAATACTCTTCTGCCAATTATTAATGTTGAGTAAACAAAACTGAATTTTTTAAGATTTGCTGAGTTCTCATCTTGATTACTTGCAGCATTTATTCTAAAATATACAATATTCAGATCGGTCTGAATCCCATTTTTTTCACAGGATAACAACTTATCATATAGCAGAAGGGGGTTTATTCTAAGTCATTAAATTATTATTACTAATTCATGTTAAGGTACTTCTACTTACTTGCATTGAGCTACTTTTTAAAAAAATCCTTGTTCAATGCCCAGCTTTTCCAAAAAGAAGCATTTTAAAAATACTTATTACTGAATTTGCTTCCCTAGATTCAAACTGAGCGTATTTGGGCATGTTGTTGATTACTGAGCACCCTGTGCAGTAAAAGGCAGATCCTGGAGACCAGACCTGGATTTATGGGAAGAAAGGCAGGCTGTCAGGCTGTTAAAAACCTGCCTCCCACCTTTGTTTACTTAACCCAGTATTACAACCTCTTTCGCAGTCCCCCAGGCCGTTTCACCAAAAGCAGGGAGCTGAAGAGATGGTGTGACATTTGAAGAGCCAGGAAATGTGTGATCATTCCCATCTGCAGCCTAGTATTGCAGCCAGTTCTGCCTTATGACCAGGTGAAGGCGAGGGGTCAGATCTTGTTTTTCACACCAGAGCTGTACAGACAAATATGATGTGAAATTGCAGTGAGGTGGAGGATACTCCATGGAATTATCAGGATCAATCACAATTAGCTTACTGACTACACATACCCATTAGTAAATAGCGATGTGTAATATAAGTGATGAATGTTGAATGAATGACTGAAATATGAATAAATAGACAAGAGAAACAGACGGTGCCAAAAGCCAAACTTCCCCAGCTGTACCTGTTTCAGTGGGATTACTTCAGCCTATGTCTAGCCTGACCTTATGGATTGAAAACCCATTACTGTTTGGAGGCACTAGGTGTGCTTCCCCACCACATCTTCCAGTTCAGTTTTGTCTGAAAGGAATCTAGTTCGCATGTTCATAAAACAAGACCAAACACAGTAAATGGATATGATGTTTACTACAAAAGCACATCTAATTTGAACTGAAATACTAATGTAGATATTTTCACTCAAGAGTCATGGTTTGGATGTTCCACTCAGCAACAACAGTAGGAGAGCAGCTTTTATGTCTATGAGTTTCAATTTTTGTTTGTTTGTTTGTTTGTGTTTTGTTGGGTTTTTTTTTAATTGGCTCACATGATAACATTTCTTAATATAGTATTATTCACCTCAAAGCAAATAGGCTTTAGGAACACTTGGCTAAAATCATGGCAGGCACTTGCAGGTCCACAAGCTGCTTAAAGACAACCATCACACTTTTTCATAATCCTGATACCAAAGAGTTAAAAAATTTAGTTAAATTAACAGAAAAACAGGCACATTCTTTACCTGGCATCCCAAGATTGGGAAGCATTAAGAAAACAAAGAACAAATTATAAAAAAGGGACACTGTTATCTAAATTAGTAGGTAAGAAAGCAAGAAGAAACCTTCAAGAGAGGGAGTTCTAGACATAAAAGGAGCCAAGCTGACAAAATGTTACAACCCACAGACATCAACGATAAATTGGTGAAAGTAGGACAAAAGTAATTGTGGTATTGGAAGACCGTGGCCTTGAACTCAGATGGCCCCCCTCGAAAGAGGGTAAAACCACACTTGGGGAGCATGCGTAGTTAATAGAGAGGCTTCATTAGTGCTTACTGAGGATGCGTACTAATTTACATTAGAAGCGAGAAACTTTTAACCAATCCTAAGTGTGAATAACAATGAATATGCAGTGTACTATGAATATGGAAATATCTTATTGTATATAATGTGTATCTTCATTTGGCTGGGTGTGCATGCTAGGAGGAGAAATCACCCATGCATCCAGCACTGCAATAAACTAATGTCAGATTTCTAAACTATCATTTCGTTTAGAGAGTTTTCTTGGTTATGATTTTTTGTAACAGTCCTGGGAAAAGACCACAGGCATCAAATTCAGGATAGTGTTAGCCCTACTGGGGTTATCTGCTGGCTATTTGAGCTCCTTGCTCCTGGGGACCCATTTTAACTGTTTTAAGTGCAGGACACCATCCCTATTTTAACCCCACCTTACTGTCCTCTGCCTGAGGTATCTTTCCTGTACGTTCATGCTATTCAGTCTCAGCAATTGCTGAAGACTGTTCTGAAGCAATTGCTGAAGACTGTTCTGTTCTGATTCAGGTGCAGCTCAAGGCCAAGTATTGGCAACACAAAAGAATGTTGATGCCCCAACACCACTCCAGTAAGCAAGCTACATTTCTTCAGCATAAATGTCAAAAATAGCCTAAAGTATCTGACTTTTATAGAATCCTAAAAGTCATATCTAGTATTCTGCTTGTTTTTTAGAGAAAGTTGGGAGCTATGGGAAAATGGAGAAAGATCTTCACTTACAAACACTATACTTTGACACACTAGGAGAGTGGCATGAAAGGTTGTGCATTTTATTTGTAACTTGGTTATAAATGATGCCTTCAGCACTTGGTTGAAGAGAAGAGCTCTTTGATTTATTTCCTGTATAGATCTAAATGTGTAGGACTATACTTCAGTGGTAAGCAATGATAGAGCAAATACGCATTAAAATGAAGATTCAGGAATAAGTAAAAAACCCATACCTAATCAAACTGATAAAATTAGGAGCAACTTGCCAATTCGTTTGCCTGATGTGACTCTATTTCAGAGCCTCCCTTATTGAGGTAGTTTTGTGCTAATGTGATTACAAAGAGCTGCCATTAAATCTGTTTGCAAAGGGACTGCTGAAAGTACTGCATCAGTTCTTTTTTTATATCCCTCCTACAAAACCATACAGGGATTCCTGGGGACTTTTAAAACTTGAGAGATGCTTACTGCAAGGCTTGGTTCCCTTTGGAAGAGTAAATTACAAAAATCCTCAGATTACTATCAGCTGCACCAGGGATTCAAACAATGCCAGGAAACTAAAAACAGAACCCCTAAAATGTGGTTACATAATTCAAAAGGACATAAACATAATTTCACAACCAGAAAGATGACTCACTATCTGGTGTGACTATGTGTCAACACTATCTCATTGCTCTAGTCAGGCCAGTGTCACTAATAGCAGCATTCATTATTCCAGAGTTTGGCTAAAATTGAGAAACAAATTTTCAAAGTAACTTGTGTTAAGTTCTATGGCTCATGCAGGTATATAAGAGGCCACACATAATGATAATCATAGTCCTTACGGGTTTTGAAATATATTCGTTTACATATATCTTGACCTCAAAAGGTTTATTCTCCACACCTTATTCATTTCAGTAACAAGCTGTAAAATGTGGTATGCAATACGTGCCTGTATATTCTATTAAGACAGTCACTTTATGATTATTATAATGTAAAATTATACTTTTCCTAAAGATAGGTAAGCAGAACAGGGAAGGTTTTCCTCTGAAACTTTTAGCTATACAAAAAGAAAAAAGTAGTTGAACATTACTGAGTACCTTCTTTATCATCACGACGTATGATTGCATCCTGTATCACATCAGCAAGATTAAAATGAACTCGATGATTCTTTCCATGTTTCAGTTTTTTTGCGTAGCCCTCCCGTTTCTGGAAAGCTTTTTCTCGTTCATAATATGCCTTTATTTGGTCACAGCGCATCCGCTTCACCAGCCGCTGCCGCTGGCCGAGAGGGAGGGACTCCAGCAGGCACTGCTCAATTTCCATCTCATGGGACCGAAAAACATTACATAGCTGGAAACAGCCTGTAAGAAATTAAAGACAAACACATTTAGATCATGCAACAGCATGTTTTCAAATGTGCCATGAAACCTCCACCAATTTTCTTGTTGTCCTTTCTAACCCTCTGTAACTCTAACATGTGAGCTCCTCCTACTCAACCATGCTGACTATAGAGAGTATATATCATTATAATTTACTTTTTGAAAACAACAGAAAACTAATTCCTTTAAATCACTGATTCATTTTTTAAATGCCCACTCAGTTCATGTAAACAAATGTGAACAGAAAGAGGTCTAAAAGTTCACATCTGACACAGGCAAAATATCTAAATAATTCAACATAATTCAAGTGGCTCTCATTTGCTTAGAAACAAGAGACGATTATGCAGAGAAATGCCAGTCTGATGCCTGTGTTTCCTTTTTATTAATTTTCATCTTGCTTTAGGTTAGCAAATTCTGGTTATTCAGTGAGAAGAAAAATCATCATATCATAATTATAATGAGTTAATTAGCATGCAGTTGGTACTCAGGCAACTATCTATTAAAAACATCAAAGTCATTTCAGATTCCTAAATATGTGTATGACTTTGTTTTTCTTGCATTGTATAGAGCCATCCAAATGGAATCTTCTAATGAAACTGTCAGACACTGAAGTCTTCGTGTGGAAACCAATCACAAATGTGTCTTTGATTCAGTTTATACTAGCATTCATAGCATTACCTTTAAGTCAGATTCCTCTTTTGTTGTTACCATTAAATCTGGTATTTTAACTTACATGGCAATAACAGTGATGTTCTTTTACAGTATGTTCTCTTTTCCACTGAGAGTGAAGACCATAAGGGATTACTTGCTGCAAGTTGCTTTTCAGGGGACAGCTGTGTTACAAAAGGAGACTAGTGGACTATCAGAAAATTTTATTGCCCGAGTCCTTGAGAGATGCTAACTACATCCACATCCATCAACGATGTACCCACTAACCTACCCTAAAACACTTTGATGTGGTGGCTGGAGACCACCCAATCACTTCTGATTCTTATATTCTACTTTATATACGTACTTCAGTTTTCTTCGTATGAGAGCTAGGTGCCCAAATTTTTAATTTCTAAGCACCATCAGCAGCCCAGATGAGAGAGGTTTTTCTCTCTTTAGTCTGGTGGAAAAGCTCTTAAAGAGGATGTAGACTCAAGTCACCTTGGGCAGTTAAGAAATACCAAACATGAAGCATTACTGTGCAAATTTAATTAGGACTGCTTTTGCCTACCTATTTTGCTAAATCTGTAATTACATCATTAAAGAACTCCCACCTCATTCAGGGCACTAGCTGAGTAGTGCCATTTTGTTTTCTCCTTGTTGCTTGACATATGTCTAATCTACTGAACACCATTCAAACCCTGCTCTGAAGGCATAATTAATAATTTCCTGTCAGGCTTTTGTAAAGCTCACATCATCATAACACATAAATGCTTCACAAATACTTATTTTCATTTAAAAAAGAGGGATAAAGCAGCATTCTTATCTACATTCTCTACCGAAGAAGTGAAAGACAATTATTTTCTTTTCGAATCACTAATTTGGGGTGTCCAATTCAAGAATTCTATATTGTTTTCTTCAAGTTTTTTGTTTTGCTTTAAAGGCATAGTATTCTATAAATTATTATGTGTCATAATACCATAATAAAATAGTATCAAAGTGATATTCCTACTTCTGCATGCCAATCACTCTATATCTATTACATATTTATTTGTTTTATTATTTTATTATTTTATGTTATAAATTATATAT